TTTCCTTTATAGGTGATTTATTTCTTTTCTCTAACTGCCTGTAGGATTTTGTTCTTCTGTTGGGTTTCTGGGATCTTGACTATTATATGTCTAGGTGTAGATTTTTTTTGATCATGTCTAGGTGGAGTTCTATATGCCTCACTTGTCTGTATGTCCAATTCTCCACCTCTGTGTGGGAAGTTTTCTACTATTACTTCTGTGAACAGTTTTTTTATGCCCAATTATACTTTCTCCTGTTTTTTCATGGACTCCTATCAGTCTTATGTTATTCTTCTTTGCATCATCTAGCAGCTGCTGGATTGATTTCTCATGGTCCTTTACTATTTTGAAGAGATCCCTGTTTTCATGGTCTTTAACCGTGATGTTGTCTTCTATATCTGATATTCTATCTTCAGATTCCCTTAATCTGTGCTGCATGCTTTCAATGGAAAACCATAAATTTTCATAAAAATATATTGTAAATGCTAAATGTGAAAAGTTCTATCTAAATTAATTAGCAAACAGTTTTAATTTTTAAAAGAAATATGACTTTTTTTGGCCAGGTGTGGTAGTGCACACCTATAATCCTAGCATGTGGGTGGCTGAGGCAGGAGCATCACCAGGAGTTTGAAGCCAGCCTGGACTCCATACTTAGTTCAAGGCCAGTCTGAACTACTGGCATTGAACCGACCCTGTCTCAAAGAAACCAGAAAAAGAAAAAAAAAAACATGATTTTTGAATAAAAGTAATAACTTCTTTTTTTAAAATTCTGCCCACCAAAAGTTTACTTAGCAAAACTAAGTAGTACTAGTTAAATGATACAGGGAGTCAAACTGTGAATATTTAGTTATCTGGATCTTCTCTGCAGAATTCGTGTATTGGACTAGCTTTAATTATCGGAGAAATTTAGAAAATGCAGACAAGAACAAAATCACCTAAGAGAACATCACCTCAGGACAATGGCTGCTAAATGCTTCCATGCACTTACACAGTTTTAAGATGGGCTTTCCATGCTTACAGCATGAACCACCTCCATCCACCTATCACTAACCTAACTAGTAAGGGCAGATACTACCAGCTAGTCAGCAACAGAGACTTCATTCTCCTATTACCAATACAGACCTTGTGGTTTAAAAAGAACTATCATTTTTCTTCCCCATACTCTCACCCTCAACAGATCCCAGTCGAGGGTTGGATCCAGTCCCTATTTTTATAGTAAGACTTATGCTCAATATTTTTGTCTATATTTTCTCCTCAAAAACACCATATCTGAAATCAGTTTGTATATAATGCTAAGAACATCCTAGAGAGGGCTACACAGCTATTTTATTGTATAATGCTAAATTAGCTGCAGATATATTTAAATATCCATCTTTTCATCAGTGAGGTGAAGATAATAACCATGGCCTTGCCTGCATCTCTGCATTGTGAGGAGCTCTCACAACTGTTGAGAGAATGCGTTTTCAAAAACAGGTAAATTTTAGGTAAATCATCTTTATCTTCTGCAAATCTGGGCCCTGAAGAAATTAAGAATTTCTTGTGTCTGTCATTGATCTGATTCTAATATTAATTCACTGAACTGTACTGGTTATTTGAATGATAACCAATTACTCCCTAGTAATTCAAAGGTGGTGAAAGTCTTCATTCTCTTGGTCTTTGATCCTTGTTTTGTGATTTCCCTCCTGCATCTCTGTTTCTTTCCTGACTCTTCTCATTTGACTTTGTGCTTATTCCTCAATTTCTGTTGTAACCTTTAACTACTCTATATTTCCTGATGAACTCATCTACTTTATTGGTATCAATTATGATCACTATACAAGCAACTCTCTTGTATGTATCTGCAGCTTGCTATTTGAAAGTTTCAGCCTCCAAACAATGTTTACACACTTTATAAAAATTTTATATAAGGCAGAGTCACAAAAGAAAAATTATAGTACACTCAGAATAGGTAATTCAGGACAATTTAGAAAGGGATGTAATAAACTCATAGACAGGATTTAGGAGAATGAAAAAGCTATTTGTGGGGCGCAATGCCTCGCTATATAGCTAAGCTGGGTTTGAGTTTAATATGTGGCCCAGGCTGGCCTCAAACTTGGGGTGAAGGTACGGTGTTCAAAAATATTGAGTAGAAACCTCTTACTATAAAAATAGGAACTGGATCCACCCCACGACTGGGATCTGTTGAGGGTGAGAGCATGGGGGAGAAAAATGATAGTTCTTTTTAAACCACAAGATCTGTGTTGGTAATAGGAGAATGAAGTCTCTGTTGCTGACTAGCTGGTAGTATCTGCCCTTACTAGTTAGGTTAGTGATAGGTGGATGGAGGTGGTTCATGCTGTAAGCATGGAAAGCCCATCTAAGAACTGCAGATTTCAGGTACCTCTGTTTCCTGTGAGTATCTGCTCGGGGATTATAGTAGCCAGAGTCTCTCCCGTTTGTGTGAGGTGTCCAATTTAGAATTCTCTTGACAGTCAGGTCTATCCTATAATCAGCAGGCTAGGTGGTCAAGCCAGTGTTTTTCATTAAGTATCCTGGTGCTTCTCAGGCCTGAAGAGACAAAAGATGACAATGGTTACAGGAGCCCAAAGAGGAGAATGGTATGATAAGAACTATAGCCTGTTGTAGAACACAGCCCACTTGCACAGCTAACACAGCTGGAAGGAGGCCGACTGAATGAATAACTGGGTGTCATCTCTTTCACAGTCCAATCTCTCACAAGAAGCTTCAGGAAGGCTCCTGTTGATGCAGTTCACACAGGTAAGCTTCCTAGGGTAGAAGCAATGTGGAGAAAGTCAAGAGTACATCTGGAGGGACAGCTGATCTATCTTTTAAAAGGCCTGTTTTCATCTTGCTTCTCAAGAATCTGTGGATTGCTAGGGCCTTCCTCTCTGAGGCCTTGTTCCCTCTTTCATACCTGTTACAGTTGCCTTTATTTAGGTGCTTTCTGCTTGCTTCTTAGGCAAAACTAGAAAGACAGTTGGGAATAACAATGACATGTTTTGAATTAAATCAGGATCCTTCCAAAATTCATAGGTTGAAGCTCTAGCCTCCAATTTTAATTTTCCAGCCTCCAAATGGTGTTTAACCATTTAAAATTTTTCACACAAGGCAGTCATAGAAGGAACTGTATTTAGAGATGATACTCTAAGGTGGTCATCCAGGTTAAATGAAGTCTTAAGGATAGGATTCTAATCGAGTGGTGTACTCAAAAGAGGAAAAGACCAGTACTGTATATATGTGTACGCACCCACGTGTACACACATGAAAGGTCACATGAATACACAGTGAGTGTCACCATATGATAATTAAAAAGAGAGCCCTTAAGGGGAAACCAACACCTGCCAGGAGTTTCTTGCACCATTTTGGACTTTCTCCAGAACCATAAGAAATAAATTCCTGTTATTATTTTTTATTTTGGGTACCAGGGATCGAACTCAGGACCTTGTGCTTTGCAAGGCAGGCAGTGGAACCACTGAGCTAAATCCCTGACCCCAAATTTCTGTTATTTAAGCCGCCTATTCTGTGGTATTTTATTATAACACCTGTAGCCAATTGCCAACATCATTGTTCATAAACATTTTTTACTCAGCACTTTATGTTTTGGTTCTTTATGTTCATCACTTAATATAAACTTCAACCTTCACAATCCTAGAAAGAAGGTATTACTAACACAATTGTCACAGGCCAGAAAACTGAGGTAGAGAGAGGTTAATAGCTGGTTATGCTCATAAAATAACTTGCAAAGATTATGGAAATATGTGCCAACTTGTCGTATTAAGCCATTACTGTTCTGATAGAACATTAAAGTTAAATGAGCTAATAAATACAGAATTTATATTTTGTCTGATGCATTAAGTATTCGCTATTATCTGCACTCAATATATGCATTTTCAGCTGTTCTCCTGCCTGGAATAGTCTTGTATCTTGCCATCTAACTTATCTCTTTTGCTTTTCTAAGGTTCAATTCATAGGTTACAGCTAACGTTTAACATACCCCACTCTCCCATCTCATTTATCGCCAGTGTTTCCTAATTAAATGTCTTTATTGAAACTATTTGTGTCCATCACTAGATTTGAACTGCTAAAGGAGAGGTGGTGTGATGTTTTGGGCACCACTTAGGGGTACAATACTTCATGAATGACTGCACGGAGAGCGCCCATATGTAAAGAGATCCATAAATAAAATATTTCTAATGTGCATTTTGTCTTGCGTGTAATAGTCTGCGCCAAATATAGAACAGGCCCATACTCAAAGTTTTTCCAGAAATAGCTATACAGTACATACATATATAAATATACTGGGACTGAAATTAAAGGCTTTGTACAAGACAAGCAAGCGCTACACCTTCAGCCCATCTTTTGATCTTAAGCAGCAGTCGTCTGTCTCAAAGAAAAAGGGGGTTTCTTTTTCGCCGTCCTATCCCAGGAAACTCCGGGGTGAAAGCCTCGGGTCTGGGAAACCAGGAATATCTAAACTCTAGAGTCGCAATCTAAGCCCGCGCGCGTGACAGTTGCAACTCTGCGCCTGCGCTACTCCAATAGTGTGAGGTTCTTCAGTCTAGGGTGGGGCCATATTCCGCGTTTTAGGATTGGGTGGTGAACGCCCAAACGGACGGCGGGGAAATGACGTCACCGCGCGGTGACTGCTGGGTGCCGCACACCCTCGCTCTCCGCTCTTCTCCCCTCCCCCTCCTGTTCCCGCCCCCTCGGCAGCTCGCGCCCTGGCGTGACTCGGCACTGAGAGCCCCGGGAGTAGACGCGGCTGTCGCCAACTCCTCTGTCTAGGCCTCGGTCTTCCTGAGCTTCTCCCCTTTCTCGTCCCGGTTCTCCTCTTCGCTTCAGAACCCGGAGGCGTCACGGCCGCCCGAGCGGGCTCTGTTTGAGGATGGTGGGTGTGAAGCCGGTCGGGAGCGACCCGGATTTCCAGCCGGAGCTGAGCGGCGCGGGCTCCAGACTCGCTGTAGTCAAGTTCACCATGAGAGGGTGAGGCTGGGTCCGAGCACTCGGGGCCCTGGTCTGTCGGTCCGTGCTTTCCTTTCACTTCTTCCAGGTCCCAGTTCTCTTGCTATCTTCGGCTCCCGAACGTCCGGTGATGGCCGCAGCCTGGGGCCGCCGCCAGGACTAGGCCTTAGCCTTCGGGTCCGAGCTTCCATTTACGCACTCGGCCTTAGGGTTGCCGCTCCGAGATCCCTGCCCGGTCCTTTTGAATTCTCGCAAGAGCTGCGCTCTTGAGGGGCGGCCTGCGATGCCTTCCAGCTTGCTCTGTTTCTGCCAATCCCCGTCTTTCAGGAAAGCCAGCTGTTATTTGCATCTCAGCAATTCTGAATCTTAATTTTCCGAACATTTTGATTCTCCTCACCACCTGCATTTCTGTAAAGCCTTTGGAAGATTCAGATAGGGCAGTGTTACTGAGTAGTGCGTAGACCTAAGGTTCTGCTAGTGCATTTTGAATTGTATTAATGATAGTTCAGGATGTTTTTAAATGTCCTTAATGCTTTTGTTCTGGTTTGGTTGTGGCTTTGACACCCCCCCCCCATGCAAACACAAATAATAGTATTTTATCTATATGTTGTAGGTAAAAAGGTGACTAGACATCAGGGTTTCACTAGACTCCATATTTATTTCATGATTTAGATGACAGGATCTTTGGTAAATTACAACAGAATTTGTAGGTCATGGAGGTAGTGGATACCTTGTACTGGCTGTGTAATGACTTTTAACATACTGTAAATCGGCATTGAGAAGCAAGATTCAATGAGTGAGTGTATTTGCAGATCTCCCCTTGTGTATGTTAGTTGTGTATGTTAGTACCTAGTTAGGAGTTTTAGCGGTCTTCACTTGACCTCTGGCATTATTTACACATTTATTTTGTGTAAAGTTACTGCTGGTATCATTGTTTATGTAAAAGGTTTTCTTGTCCAAATGACTGAATATAAGGTAATATTTTGACTCACGGAGCAAACGTTGGGTGTGGTAGCATTAGAATTAGATAGTTTGGGGGAATGGAGGGATAGAGATGTAAGTTAGGACATTATTTTGGACCAGTCTCAGGCAGAATTGAAAATGAGTAGCACACTGGATTTACTAAGGTCGACTAGAGTATCCGTATGATATGTGGACTTTCACGGTCGCTAAATGAAGAGGTTAGGTGAATTTGTGTATATATTTTATGATATATTTAAAAAGAGGGGCTGGGGATTTAGCTCAGTGATTCCACCGCCTGCCTCGAAAGCGCAAGGTCCCGAGTTTGATCCCTACCAAAAAAAAAAAATTAAAAAAATTAAAAAATAAAAAGAATGTCAGAATTTTGTAGTTTTGCCTTCACAGATTAAGCAGTTTTATAATAGTCACATTCATTTTAAAAAAAAAGTTTTTCTTTTTCCAGTACTGGAAATCGAACTCAGGACCTTGCACTTGCCAGACCTGTGTGGTGCCTCTGAGCTAAATCCCCGGCTCACATTCTTAGTATTAGAGGAATGCCTGTACACTTGTTCAGTGTCTAGGCCACAGTGAAAAGGAGATAATTTCAACAGGGAATCTCATTTTAGTTCACTTTTCTAGTTCGGATCAGCTGGACCTTTTATATTTTTGTCTGTCAGTATTTTCCCCCCTTACCATAGAGAATGAGATGATAAAAGTAATAAATTATTGATTGAAGTTGAGCAAAGTAGGGAAATGTTGCTACCAAGGAAGCTTCCATTAGCAGTGTGGTGTCATTTAGACATAGGCATAATTGTAGACATGATAAAGAACTGTTATAATTTATATATATTTCAGTGGAATGAAAAGTGTATTTTCTTTACAAATAAATGGTTGAATGTTGAGGACATTTTTAGTTTAAACTTCTATTTAGGTTATATTTATAAACCTAACAAGATTTTACTTAGCTTTAAAGTTCCTTTAACATGTTGACAAGTAATGCATCCCTGTCCAAACTCATTGTCAGTGTAACTCTAGCTTTGTGTGTGTGTATCCACTTTAAATTTTTAATTTAATTTTTAATATTTTTTTGAGACAGGGTCTCACCATGTAGTTCAGGCTGGTCTTGAACTCACTGTGTAGCACAGGCTGGCCTTGAGCTTGTGGCAATCCTCCTGCCTTGGCCTCCTGAGTGCTGGAATTACAGGTGTACACCTCACACCCAGCTAGATTTATGTATATCAGTGTTAGTATTTGACCCCCAGACAACCATATTCAGTAAAATCCTATCAGAAACCTTTTAGATTGGTCAGGGAATTTAGCTCAGTGGTTCCGCTGCCTGCCTCAAAAGCACAAGGTCCTGAGTTTGATACCCTGTACCAAAAGAAACCTCTTAGATCAAAGTTAACGCCATCCCATTTTAGGCAAGGGCATAGTTTGTTTAGTACTATTCGAAGGGATGGGTACTGGGGATTGAACCCAGGGCATTAGCACTGAGCTACAACCACAGCCCTTTATTTTTTATTTTGAGGCAGGGTCTTGGTAAGTTGCCCAGGTTGTGCTGAAATTTTTGCTTCTCCTACCTTAACTGCCCAGAGTGCTGGGATTACAGGTGGGTAAACAGGTCTTTCTAGCACCTGTTTTTTAAAAATTTCTTTTCCAGTCCTGTTTTAAGCATATTCCTTATTTTCAGTATCCATGTTTTATCCACCCTGTCTAAATTAGTTTCACTAAAACAGTATGTAGATTGTTGGTGGTTCGGGAATCTTAAGTGGCTCTGCAATATTTTTCTTCAGGCCATTTTTTAAACAGTAAAATATATGTTTGTATATCTCACATACAATTTACCACTTAAGTAATTTTTATTTGTTTTGTTGAGGGGGGAGGCATTGAGACAGGATCTTGCTATGTAGTTCAGGCTGGCTTTGCTTAAACTCAGTATGTAGCCCATGCTGGCCTTGAACTTGCAGCAGTCCTTCTGCCTTAGCCTCCCAGCTGCTGGGATCCAGGCATGCATCACCACATCTGGCTTTGCTTTTTTGTGTGTGTGACAGGCTCATGTAGTTCAGGCTGGCCTTGAACTCACTGTGTAGTCCAGGCTGGTCTGGAACTAGCAATGATCCTCCTGTCTCAGCTTCCCAAGTGCTGGGATTACAGACACACCACCATGGCTGGTTACCACCTCAGTAATTTTTGAGCATAGAATTCAGTGGTATTGAGTACATTCACAATGTTATGCTACCATTATTATTACTATGTCATCTCAGACAGAAATTCTTACCCATTGGGTAGTAACTCCCCATCCTCACTTCTCCCAAGGGGCAAAACTGTATACTTACTGAACAGTACACAACCTCACCTCTACCTACCTACTCCCCTGGTAACTTTTATTTTACTTTCTGTCTCAGGGAATTTGCCTTTTTAGACATCTTACATGAGTGAAATCATAATATTTGTCCTTTTTCGACTTATTTCACTTAGTATATTTCATGTTTAATCAGTGTACCATGTGTTAGAAGTTTTTCCTTTTTATGACTGTATAAATACTCCATTGTATATGTGCCACATTGTGTTTATCTATTCTGTTGATGGACACTTGGGTCATTTTCTTTGGCTGCTGTGATGCTGCTGTGCTGAGGACTTTGGTATTCAAGGGTCTGTTTTCAATTCACTTTTCAGTACATACTGCCTTAAATGATTTAACTGTGGCTCCTAGTACAAACTGAGCCCTTGGACAATTCACTCTGATAATCTTTTTCCTTCTATAAAATGGGAATAACAACATGTATCCTTTTCATGTGGTTTCAAGAGTGAGAAATTATATTTATGTGAATTCTATATTTTGGTAACATTTTAAAAACAATCTGAATAGTTACTTCTTCAGTATGCCCAAATACATTTTATTGGTTATAGGCAATAAAGTTTTGTTGTTATGTACAGATGGACTGTTGAATTAAAAGACCATATATTTCTCCCTTATTAAATAGTACGGCTGATTTTTTTTTTTTTTGAAATGGTAAATGTATCACTTTTGTGGGCAGCATTTACTGTACAGGTTTTTTGAGGCAGGGTTTTACTAATTCAGGCTGGTCCCGAACTCCCTTGTGTAGTCCCCTCTGGCCTAAAACTCTCAGCAATCCGACTGCTTCAGCCTCTTAAGTGCTGGGATTACAGGTGTGTGCCACGGAACTCAGTTTATATATTCAGTTTTCTTAAGACAGGTCTTACTTTGTAGTTGGTTAGGTATCACTGTTATCATGTAAGAAGGATATCAGAATATATAAGGATATTGAGTTGTGGTGGTTATGGTAGCTTGTCCAAGTAATGCATTAATTATATATACAATATATTAATTGCATATTGCTGAGGACTGAACGTAGTTTTTGGAAATAAATACAAAGTTATGTTTGATAGTTTGTATGAACCAGGCAGGTAATGTTAGTAAGTAAAGTGAGTAGCTGTAAGACCAGGGCATGTTCAGACCTTGGATTAAACTTTTTTTTTTTTTTTTT